GTGTGTGTGTGTGTGTGTACTTACCATCAGCACCAAGACTCAACTCATCATCAAAGTGGTTGGCTTTCAGCACAGACTCTGAAGAAAAGACACATAGTCAACACATTCAGTCATTTTATATGTAGTTTCACATTATATCTTAATTTTCTGAATTTATCAAATGTACATGTGATTGGTGGAAAGTACTTATTTTTTCATTTAATGCTACTTTATACTATTACTCCACCACAGTTTAAGAAATATTGTTATTTTTACTCCTCTATATTTATATATAGCAGCTATTTACTTCACAGATTAAGATTTTACACACAAAACATCAATGATTTAACAATACCATTATATTCACAGTAGCAATTTATTCTGAATTAAAGTATTTAGAATCCACTTTGCTGATTGTACTTTTACTTATGTTGTGTTTACTTTACTCTAATGAAGTATTTTTATATTGCAGTAATGCTACTTAAGTAAAGGGTTTAGATACTTCCACCACTGCTGGTGACTATGGACATAGCTTAAGACAAAAGTTTTTTTATTGTACACATTTGAGTTGATTTGCATTTACTTTATACAACTATAAATATGTTAAGTGCATCACACATATCGAACTTGGTAAATTATTAAACGGTAAATGGCACATTGCTGTCTGTAACAAGGCTTCCTTTCTGTTCATACTCACCAAAACTCAGCTGACCGGTGTTTTCTGAGCGGGCCTCTGACCTGTGAGATATAGCCCAATATTAATGCTTAAATACACACACACACAAATATCCAGTCAGTGACATTTGCATGCTTCTTCTATCAAATAAGTGATTGCATTTGCATAGATAGTCTCATCTGGAATATGATAGCAGGCTAGCTCCAGTAAATGCTTGTTCGAACCACTTAGACCAACTTCCTACTCAGCTTTCAACAGGCTGCTCAGACTTCCTCTTGTATAAATGTTTACATGCTGAGCAGAATTAACGTCTTAACACCTCCAAACCATTCTGGTCATTTTCACGTTGGGTTCGCAGAATGCATTAACCGTCCCATCACCCCTTTTACTGTATTCTTACTTAGTGTTAGGAGCCGTTTAGATGCTGACACACTGCATGTGGAACATCACTGATTACCACCAGTGCAGCTTCCTTTTCAATGACTGAAATAAGAGACATTCAATAATGTCTGTGTGTGCTGACATCCCGACAGGAAGAAGGAAGTGTTATTTCTGTGTAGTTATGTAATTATTTTACTCTAAACCATATGGACATTTTGAAAAAGGTCAAAGGGCTCACAAGTCTACCCTGACAGTAAGATTTTTATCATAATCAACATTGCCTTAAAAAGCAGTCTGCATACTAACATTATGGTTTTACAGAAATAAACAAGCTTATTTTCCCCAAATGGAACTTTAAAAATGCATCATTTATGGCTATTCTAGCGAACACAGTACTGTGGCTACCTTACTACGCCGTCTTCCTGGAACACCTGACCTCAAAGAGTTTCCACTTTCTACGTACTCTTTGTTAAACCAGTTTCCAGCGACTGCCACATTGTCCTTAAGAGCCTTTTACAACCAGTGCTAAAAAAATGTTATCTTAAGAAAAAAAAAAAGTAGTAAAGCAAGCTGGCTCACCCACAACCCAGGAGCCAGTTCTCAATCTTTCCTGTGAAACATCCTGTGGAAAGCATACATGTACAACACTTAGCTTTGTGAGTAATCCTCAAATTAAACAGATCTTTTCTTTAAAATGTCAAAGTTGTCTGTTTTTTTACAAACACGCCCACTCTAAATACAAACTTCTGACGAATTTTGTTATCAAAAACTGGAACCTCTGGTTGCATTGACGTTATACTTTATCTTGTGCTATTTCTAAAAGAAAAGTTTCTTTCATTTTATATCTGTAATGAAGTTATTTTAACGATGATAATCTGGGCACAAAATCTACAACTACTTCCCCTAAAACCCAGACATGATCATGGGCATCCTACACAGTTGATACCGGACAGAAGATTAGATTAGATTACATTAGATTAGATTCAACTTTATTGTCATTGCAAGTACAGGTAAAGGACAACGAAATGCAGTTAGCATCTAA